GCTACTGCTGCTGCTGCTACTATTATACGACGACGACGGTTATCGCCACTATATCATTGCACTTCCAGTACTACTAATCTGTGGTATTAATCTTACTGGCAAGGCTTGTAGCCGTAAACAGATCCCAGAACAGAGAGTCGAACAGACTTGCTCACGAGGAGTGCGGAAGGTGCTCGCGCGGCGCGCCGAAGGAGCAAACTGCAGTTTCAGCTTCGAGCCTGTTTCCTTCTCCGTTAGCAACGCAGGCCCCAAACGCATGCCTTGCTTTCATCACGCAACCTTCTTCCTATACATCCGTGCTATTACTTTTGGAAAAAGCCTTCCTAGCTGAACTCATGGTCCCTGCTACAGCATGTCATAAAACGATTTAGCTGCAATCTGGTATTGAAGCACACGCATGCAAGGCATAAAGCTTGCAGTGACCTCGGAGTCTATGCGTGAGGGATAGTTGGCAATGTGGAAGCTGCGCGCATCAAAACGCGGAAGGGTTCATTAGGGTCGAAGGTGATTATAGAGGATGCTCGATTGCTTCACCGAGTGTCGGAGTGCATGTTATTAAGCTTGGCTTACTGATCGGCATGTGCGTCACGTTGTATTTGTCGTGGAGCGGACCAAGTCGTCGTGATGTTGGCCCATGTCCTGCTGTCAGGGTTGTCAGCTTTTCCACTATAGTTTTGCGAACAGAAATAGCTGAGAAGGAAGCCTCCCTGAATGTATGTCCCAGAAGTTTGTGCCATGTTTCAGTTTCGTCCGTGTTTCTATGTGGCACGGAGCGCAAACACACTTACAGCACAAGCCAATCGATGTGGGACCGAAGTACCAGTTAACAGAACAAGAAGATGCGCAGTGTCGCGTTGCGTGACATGATGTTGCTGTCGGAGCTGCTGCCGATCCTGTCGCAGCCCTTTGGCCACACTATGAGCAGCTGGTTGTTGAGTTGCTGCGCACTTCCTGCTCCGATGCATGAACAACCAACATGCCCTAATCAAGCGAAGTGGTTTACGGCATGCTATGCGAAAGGGCACGCTATGTCAGTGCTCCAAACCGGGCGAACAAAGACGCGATTCTTCAAGCTTGCAGGAGTTATGACTGTGCGGATGTGCTTCTAAGGTCACTACCGGCGGAGGTCTGTTGGACAGATGAGTATTCTGAGGAGCTGTGCTGCGATCAGCCATGTGCTCAGACTGAGGCCAGGGTTTGTGGGTTTTCTTGAACAGCAGGGTGCGGCGCATACGCCTTGTTGGGAAGCCAAGGAGATACGGACCGGAAGGGAACTCGGCCTGTTGGGCCGGAGCCGCTTGGCTCTTGCCATTGGAAAGAAGAAAGGGGCTTGCGAGTTTGCTCTACGCTGCAACAGACAAGGAGCTCACCTTTGAGGCTTGCTGCGGAGATGCTGCAAGAGATCTTCAAGAGGCCAGACCTGCAAAGGCGGCATCGCTAGCATCACTTGCGCAGTTCATCTTCCATGAAGGCCGGCGATCTTCCGGGCAAGAACATGGAGACACAGGATTTACATCCGCAGCCTCTCAGCCTGCGGTATCGGTGCATAAAGCCTGTAGCTTTACAGGCCCAGTTGCTATAAGGCCCTCGTTGTTGATCAAGTATGAGTGGCTTAGGATAGGCATCGGCCTGTTCACGACCTACGAGCCGGGAAAAGACTGCTGGACAGGACGCTTGGCTTGGCAGTGGTTGTGAGGTCTTTCGTGTTGTATATAGTGGTTCCGCAACAGCCTCGCTTGATGTGGTTCTTCGCAGGCAGATTCTCGCAATCGTTGTGGTTTCGCTTCAAGTTTGAAGCGAATGCACACATAAGAAGGTCTCACGGCTTCGCTTGACTACTCGTCCCCTTCCAGCACCCAACGGTCAGTTGAGCTGCATTGTGTTGCTATGTCATGGTCACGGGCTCTACAGCTTGGCTTGGGCTCCCAGGGGTACTTTCGGTCAACACCTGCCACTGCCACTACTGGGCAGGCATGAGTAGCTTGTGAGGGTTCTGCTTCAGTCTTCGTGCTCAAACTGTATTGGTTTGCCACTCAGACTTGCTACGACACAGAGTCCTCGGTGCAAGGTGGCAATTCATGGGTCTTACGTTGTATGAGCCATGTGCCGAGCCTGTAAGGATCGGGTGGACTTGCTAGCCACGCCATGTGTTGCTGCTTGTCAGCATTCACAGGTCCAGTGTCATGTATGTTCATGATTCAGATTTGCTACTGAAATGATGAGGTGATCTCTCTATGTCCGAATACGGCATGGGATCTTGCTGGGATGGCTGGCGCTACACTTTTGACCGCTGCTGCTTCCTGGGCGAGGCGTGCCCTTGCCCTTGGCAATGCCGCATAAGGGAGATTGACTTTCCATCCCAACTTAGGCTCCGGCATTCCGGCCACCAGCCAAGCTCTCGGCGTTCACAAGCTTGGATTTCTCTGACCAAGCGATGCCTGTTCAGAACCACAGGACGCAGTACTTACAGGGAGAAATGCGCCCGAGGCGAAGCCACTTCTACGGCTGCCCAAGGAACCAGCGGCACCGAAAGCGGGCAGGCGGGGACGCGAGTCCGAGCCGTGACCAGCTCCTAGGTTTCGGCCTAGGCCTAGATTGGATTTCCAGTAGTGGGAGATGCCAGCGCCCCAATCCTCGAGACTTCCATGTTTGTCGCCTGTTTCAGAAAGGCGAACCCATGAAGCCTGACTGTTGAAATGACCGAAGTGGTTAAGCAGTCACCAAGGGAAACGCATAGCACTACGCACATCAATGGCGTCGATTCGCTGGAGTCCACTACTGGAGCTTCTGTGCGCCATCCTGCCCCCACCAGAGTTCAGTCTGGCAGAGCAACGGGGGCTCCCATGAACATCACAGCTCGTCCGAGGCAAGGGAGGTGGAGCACGCTGCTGCTCTAGCGGTGAAGCAAGAAGACTGCACAGGGCCTGCTGGTGCTCCTGCAACGCAGAGAAGCAAAGCATTGGGCATCCTGGCGCGTGAGCGGCAAAGCGAAGGTAATGCGCCGGACAAGCTGGTGCTCCAGCCCCAACTACAAAACATGGGGCAAGCTGTCGCTCCAGCACGAAGTCGGGCCTGCTGGCTCTCCGCACTGCCGGCTTGGCATACTCTTCTTTGCCGAGCCTGCTACAGAGTCGCTCGTGCGACCTCGAGACGAGATGCATGCGTGGAAGCAGCTTGAGCAGCGCGAAGTACAAGGAAGTGCGAGTCTTGACCAGGCAGCTTTACTGCAAAGCGCACTACTGCAAAGCGCATTGCTGCAAAGCGCATACCGAAGCATGTTGAGAAGCGCGCAGCTAAGCTGTGGCTACAGTCACGCCTCTTTCGGAGACCCATCTCCCACTCGACCTCCCAGGATGAGTTTACAGAAACCTGGTCATTGATCCGGTTCCGCAACGCTTGTAGACCCAAAGCCCTTGGCTGTGGCAAGACTGGCCTCAACCGAACGGCTCCAGGCAAGGGCTGATGTGCAAAGCACTTGCAAAGCCGAAGCCGCAAATTCCTGTGAGGGGCGTCGCTCGGCCTTCAGGCCCGCAGGGGGACAGTGTCACGACTGGTTGAGATATCGACTTTTTGGTGGCTAGCTGCTATAATTCTTGCATCCTGGCTAGGTGTGGAATGTTGGCAGAGCGACTTCACTTTCGCATACTGCTGTGCTCTGGCTGAAGTTGCCATGCAACCGAAAGTTGTCAGCATCGACGATTTCTGGGTTGTTTCTTCGCTCGTTTCATTTGTGCAGCTAGTGGCGGGCACCATCAGATCCATTTCTTCTCCATGCAGAGGCTGTCTGTGTTGCTAGGTCGCAGGTGCAGCGGCAATGCAAGAGGCTACAGCAGTGATCAGGTATGGGCGGGGCGGCTGCCTGCTGGGACGATCAGTTCACTCGAGCCGCCTGCTGTGATGGACTCGCTGATCCAGTGGAGGTTGTGCAGACTTCAAACTTGTACGTGCCTCCTGGCTTTCGTTGCATTGCCGGAAATTCTGGTCCCGTCAGGCTTGGAAGGTGACAGATGCATCGGATCCTCAGGCCAGGCCATGTGACTGCACACTGAGTCTGTTGAGAGAAGTTGCCGCCCGAGGTGATCTGTCTCTTGGACACAAGGAATGTGGCTTTGGCACCTCTCTCAGCAAGGTTGCTGAGGATTTCGGGATATTGTCTGTTGCAGCTTCAGTAAGGATCTGGAACAGACTCCGAAGCATTGTCCGAAAGAGCGCTTCTTTCTTCTGGCGTCGTTGGGCCCTCCGGTGACACCCGGCCGAGTGCGATGCATCAATCATGTGAGCTGCAGGTTTCAGATGATACACTTTGCAGATTGTCGTCCAACCTCAGGCTTTAGGTTCGAAGATGAGGTCGCAGGAGCATGCTGCAGAAGTGAACGTATGCACAGGGCCGCAGATTTCGGGCTTTGGCGTCCTGATCCTCAACTCCTCAACCGTCGAGCATAGCCTTTCCCTTTGCAGCACCGCAGCTACCCCTAGTCTTAGTCCAGAACCACGAGGAGGAAGCCAAGCAGAAGGTCTCAGGTCCCTTGTCCCTCCCTTTCTTGCCGTCTCTGCGTCTTCGCCAGCCCATTTCCTCCCACGTAGTTCCCAGGATCGAAGAGGACTGGACAGGGACACCCTGGTTCCGGAAACCGTGGAGTGTGGAGGCCATGAGTTAGCAGTGGCATGTTTTGCTTTATGGGGGCTTGCGCTGTGTCTTTACGTCAGGGTCTGAAGCGGGAATCGATGCAGCGTCTCCAGCCAGTACGACCTAGCAGGACCTAGCCGCACCCAGGAAAGAGCACCCACAATAGTCTGTCCGGACTTGCTCTACTGGGTCAGGACTTCCTTTGTTGGCGGCCTTTGTGTGCCAGAGCCATGCTCTTTGGAGGCTGGGCACCCCTATGATATGCCGCAATCTGTAGAACATCCGTAGCATCACTTCTGCAGACGACGGCCGCTTACCTTGCCCCACGCGTTGTGCCTTGGTGGCGGGCTCCTCGACCGGAGCCGCAGCTGCTGAACGTCCCTCGGCGAGCAATGCGCCGCAGACACCTGCAGCTCTCCTGTCAGCTCAAAGGAGACTCACTTTTTGCTGCCACCTCCGCTAGCTGCCAAACACAAAGTCTATCGATCATCGCGGCTCAGCTCCACGTGGACAGCACCTTGGCTCACCGTGTGCGGAGGCGGTGTCCGTTTTGAACTTTCCCTGACGCTCTGACCCAAAAGCCAAGGCTTGGGTCGCCCCGCGGCCCACGGATGCTGATGTCTTCGCTGAACAGCTGCACGGCCCCCTGGCGCGATCCTGAATAAGCCTGGATGCGTGAAGAAACCAAGTCGAAAGCGACAGGCTGGGAGTTTGCAATCCTCGAGTTGCTCGGATGCAAGCTTCTTTTCTACTCACTTTCTTGTTTGGAGAATGCTGAAATGTAAGGGGCGAACATCGGGACATTTTGCAGTGCTGAGGCACGGCAAGTACATCAGCGGGAGCATCTCTGGTCTCATCACCGTGACACTAATGTAGCCTGTTTCAAGTGACCACCATTATTGGTTGGTCTACTGCATGCCAAAAGCCGTTCCAGTCCTGTGAAAAAGTCAAACCTCGTGAGAGTTTTGGGGATCTTGACAAGGATTCTTGCAACGGCTGCTGCTGGTCTTTTAGTCCCGAGGCATCTTATGTGCGAAGTAGCAGATACACGCACCCACACATATCGAATTCTTTGACTGTTCCAGGCAAGCATCAGAGTTTCCACCCTCCCTCGCGCCGCAGTTTCATCTGTCCGGGCCTTTGGAGTAACTCTCAGGGACCCAAAGCCGCCGCTTTAGAGCTCCCACTCCGCAGGCTGCGACTCGGCCTGGCCCGAGGGCCACGGGACCTGGACGTTGCGAGGCTGTGGCTTACGGTCGTTGCCGCTCGGTAGGAAGAGGAGAGCGGAGACGGACGGCTGCGGCTAAGGCATAAGTCATAAGGCGTAAGCGCCGTGAGAGCTCTGAGGTGATGTTCATCCACGTCGTCGACCACGGACCCTGGCTTCCCGTCACCCAGCACACGAGCGGAGCCTGGCTCGTGCTCCTCAGCAGCGGCCTGGCACTTCGAATTTAAGGGATATTCTTTGAGGGAAGGAGGGCGCTGCTCTTTTGTCTTGTCTACTCTTTTTGCTTCCACGGGCACATTGCTGTAGGTGGCCTGAACCGCGTGAACGTGGCCTTCGTGGTGCTCCTGGTCCACCTCAGCATCAGCCGCAGGTCCTTGAAACAGGCGATGCAAGGCTTTGTTGGACACCCCCTGGTCTGTCCCTGCGTTTCTTCGGGAGCCTCAGGCGATCTCCCTGTGGGGCTGGGTCAGAGGTCTGTTGCACCACATCTTGAAGAGAAGCTTGGCTTCAGGTTTCGCAACCAGTTTGCGTCGAGAGCATGTAGCCGAACTTGAGCGATGGCGAGGATGGCTTGTGATTTCACCAGTGGTCTCATTCTGGAGCTTCGCAGGGGGCTCGGAGCATCATCCTTTTGAGTCTCAATGTCGCTGACTGGCTGAGGTTTTCGTTCACGCGCCCTTTGCGGATGTTCCCATGAACAACGTTTTGAAGTCCCACGCGTGCGTGCCTCACAGCGTTATATGCGATGATCTGCGTGTGTCGTGACGATGATCTCTCCTCCAAATGAAAGAGCCCGAGTTCAGGCTGTTTCACCACTACAGCGCGAAGCGAGATGAGTGTGCACTGGCCTCAGTGGGCAGACAGTGGGTGGCGATTTGGATTTTGTCTGCAGGAGCATCCGCTGCATTTGCTGTCGAGCTCGTTCTTGGTGCATGGGCCGCTGATGGGAAGGCGCCTGGCCGAATGAAGACTGGCTGGACTTCTGGCGATATGTTGTTGAATGTAATGAGTGTAACTTTGCACAAGATCCCGCCTTTGCCGAGCAGGGCGTCGCCTTGCATGAATGCCGACATCTTCGAGAGTCCAAGCCCGAGGAAAGGCCCTTTTGTTCATGTTCAGGTCTGAGCCCGTCTGAATGACTGGAACGATGCTTGGTTCAGCGTGGGATGGCCTTGCCATCACGGGTGCACCTGATGGGTCTATTCGCCACTTGTTGTAACTAGTAACTAGTCCAGCTTTGATTGAGGCAGCCAATGCCCAGGTTTGTTCCAAGTGGACGTTGTGGTGTTCGGCTTGCTCTCTGCAGTGGGCCACCATCTTGGATCCACTCAACAAGTCGGCTTGGGGTTCTTCCAGATGCACTGCCAGAGCTGAGGCCGTTTCCGTGCTGCCACCGTGGCGCACTTGCTGTGGGTGCTGGTTGCAGAAAGCCGTCTGATCAGTTTTCATTGCATCCTGCCTGGAGGTGCCTGCGGTGATTCTGAGCTATCACACAGTGCCTGCTGCATGGCGCCCAGGGGAGCTGAACCAACTCGCTCGCAGTTCAGACTGCTCTGTACCGTCTTTGTTCTGGCTGGTGGCGGCTGAGGCCTCCTTTAACGGAGCCGGTCACCACTTCACTGGTCTGCTGCCAGCTTCTCGGTTTCCAGAGCTTTTCGGTGAAGTCTTTCTCTGAGGGTCTGCCAGGCCCGCAGCACTTGCGACATTGGCAATCTCTTCCTGGTTCCACGGCAGGAAAGGTTGCTGCCGGCCACGAATCAGTGGAGATGAAACTGAGGCTCAGCCCTTACGAGCTTCAGCTTTGTCCTCGGACGCGGGCGCCCTGTCGATACGCTCTGCGAATTCTTGCGAGCACATGCATCCCGGCATTCATCAGCTTGGCTCTTTCGCCTGCGTCGAGAGTTCCTAGCAACAAGGTCCGCAAGCAAGCACATTTTGGGGTTCCCCTTAGGCCAGGCAATTACGGCCACCGGTGCAAATGTCACAATTTTCCTGCTACAGCGGCCAGACCTTTGTATTCATTCCCGCCAAGCTAGGTTGCAGAACTCGGTCTAGCACCAGTTGGGAGAATGGAGTATGTGCAGTCTGAATTCGCAGACGTGCATGCGAGGCATTGCAGCAACTTGCTTCCAGGACATGATGCACTTGGAAACGTGTCTACCGCTTGCATGGTGCATTCGCTGTCGCTCAGACAATCTGGAGTTTCAGGACGCGCTTACTACCGGAGGCGAATTCGTATTTCCCTTGCCTAGCCTTGAGGGTATGGCAAGCTTCCTCAAGGCGCTGCATCCAATAAGACAGGAGCAATATGCGACCTGTCTTTGACGGATTTCTTTTTCTCGTCCATTGGCGGTGAAAGTCTGCATGAGTTGTACACTCCCGACAGTTGAGGTGATTTTCTGTCATTTGTACGAGCTGGTGTTTGTGCCCGGAGCTCATCTGGAGTTTGTTCGTGCATCGCTCGACGACCTGAATCAGTGTAGCCTTCAGCTGCGCGGGCACCCTAGTTAAGCCTCGCGCTGCCTGTGTGGCTCGGTGAGGCTCGGACTCGTTATCCACTTGAAGCTGGGCTGGCAAGCGCATGCCCAACGCCAGGAGTGCATACATAGCCGAATCATAGTTTTGAAAGCTTTGTTTTTCCCCACCCTCGGTGTGGGGTTGTTAGATTTTAAAGTCAGCTATTACTCCCGCCCGCTCCTCGTCCGCAGACTACCTCCAGAGACTGCCTGGAGTGCCCACCCCCTGAGACTACCGTGAGACTCCCTGGAGTGCTCAACCTCAAAAACTGCCATGAGACTCCCCGGAGTGCCGAGACTACCGTGAGACTCCCTGGAGTGCCCAACCCAGGCACGTGTTTTGGTACGTGTACGGGGACCCCACGTCCGTAACGCCAGTCAGTGGTGTGGCCTCATGCATGGATCGTCGAATGCCCTGAATCGAACACTCATGTTTTGCTACGTGTACGGGGACCCCACGTCTGTAACGCCGCAGTGGTGTGACCTCATGGATCGTCCACCGACCTGAATCGAACACGTGTTGTGTTACGTGTATACGGGGACCCCACGTCCGTATCTTGTTTTCTGTGTTCCTGGTTTTTTGGTTGATGGCTAGCACTGGGCCTCGGAGCAAATGCTGCTTGTCCCTTGCTCCAAAAACGGATGACCTGAGATCATCGCGGGGCAGTCCCCTCGAGCCCGAGTGCGGCAACCTGGTTCTGATCTTCTTGGGTCCGAATGTTTTCCTTCACCTTACTTAGCTCCGTGCTGTTTTTCTTGCTGATGCAGACCCAGCGGCATGCACTGAAGTTTCAAACAGCCCGCTATGAGCAGAGCCCGCTTGCTCAGCGTCCAATAAAAATTGTTGTTGTTGTGGTTGACGTTGTGGTTGACGTTGTGGTTGACGTTGTGAGCCTCGGGTTGGAGATGTCGCCGATCTGTTAAGCCGGGCATGGCTCCGGCCGAACACATGCTTTGGGCGATGCTCCCCCCTCCCGCCCTCCCTCACCCTGGCGCTGATTGGTCGAAGTCTTCTCAACCTTGTTCCTGACTTTTGAGGAAGGACCTCAATCCCTCCTTCGCTCTAACAGGCACCGGGCCGACCGAAGACAGCTGCACTTCCAAAGCTGATCCGCAGATCTGAAAAACTATGGGGTTGATTGAACGTTGTAATCGACTATACATGTCATGCGGATAAGCTCTTTACACACCAACGCCAACTGTTGTGTTCATTTTGTCTGAGAATGGGCCCGTAGCAAGGGTTGAATGATGGGTGGGAAACCCGAAACCGATCAACCCCAAGGGAGTCGGTGGTGGTTCCCAAGCCTACACCCTGAAAGGAGTGACCTCGGCGACGAACGGAAGTGATAGGATTCTTGGTTACTTCGCGTTGGGTTCCTGCCAGTTGTCGTACCCCACCCCCAAGAAACTGGCTGCCTCTGTTGGGGCTGTGCTGCTATGCCTTCACAAACTCCTCTGCCGTGCAGGAGCCCTGGTCCGCGCTCCGCTTCCTCTCGCGGCTCAGCCCCGGGCTCTGCCTGTCGCCTGGATCCCAGAGATCCCAGCCTATGCACCACATCGCACGCGGCGACCTCGATATACGATGCTCAGTTCTTGAGCTCAGCCAGGAATCTCTTTGTTCTACACTTTGCTGGTGCGTATGTTCTCGATGAGCCCATCGAGCTGTCAGCCCTCCGGCAAATTCGTGCCAACAAACAAAAGTGAAGCAAGGAGCCAAGACTCCCTATCTGCAGCTGCTTCAGATTTATGGGCCCAGGTATTCGTGTGCTGTGCATACCTGCTGATGACGTTCTCGCTGTCGCTGCTCGTGCCCTTGATGCATGAGAGGGTCTGACCTCTGAATTGACCATCTGGGCGCGAGAGTGGCATTCAGGGGTTGCGTGCAAAGAACCTGCATTTCGCCGTGGTCGGTGCGATGACACTCAGGTGTCACTCTTGCCTTTGTTCCTTGTGGAAGGCAGCGTGCTACCGCCGTAATGGCAAGCAGGTGCAGCTGTGAACTCGCATGACAGGTCCCGCTGCCTGCTTGCTTAGCAATGGTCTTCGTCAGGCAGGCGAGACGGAAAGCCTTGCACGTTCCAGACTTGGATGTCTGTTGGTTGATAAGGATATGACGGTGCTGCCAGCAGCCGCGGCGGCTGCTTAGGTACGCGGCACGGCATATTTGGCCTGTTTCAGTCCGCTTCCTTAAATCAGTGAAGAGAAGACTGACTGTACAAAAGGGGCCACAAGAGCTCCGTTCAGATCCTGGCCCTGTTCGATTCCAAAGTCTCATTGAATCACTTGGCCAAAGGGCCCAACGAGCCACCATGGTTCTTCCATAGCAGTGCGTGTAGCGGGGTATTAGGAAGTTGCTGCTTTAGCTGCTCGCTGTGGAAGGGCTGTGCCTTGCTGATCGCGTCATCGTTTATGCAAAAGATCGAGCTGCGCATGATGCTGACATCAGACCATGTGTGGGTACATGATTTCCTGCATCTTTCGGTCCAGGACTCTTCAGAAGCCTGGCAAAAGCGCAACCGTACTGCTGAAGCAGACAATGCTGTGAAGCACGGCGAAAAGTTCGCAGCATCCGAAGGAGAGTTGCCTATGGTTCTCCGGTGTGTAACAATTACGGTGAATTACAGAAGAAACCGCCGCAGCTGCAATAGTATCAGCCATTCCGGCTCTACCAAGCAGTCGAAACTGCAGAAAGTGCTGAGTGAGCTCCCCAAACCAGGCTGGAGCATCGGCTCTTTGAACGCCAGAGTAGGCTCGAACACATCCAGATTGTCAGATAAATGCCCGACGCCTCGGTGCAAGGGGTGAATAAGGACCTGGAAGATGGAATCACGGCCGAATGGTAGATCAACCGACTTGTCGCACGAAGAGCGTTACATATTCACAAGTTGATGAGTCTTCCGCTTGGCGTCGCTTTCCTCACTACTCGTTTGCAAGCATCAGGAGACACTGATTCACTCAAGAGCGGGCTCGGTGGACGCGGGTTTCGACAAAGTGCAGCAGCTGAAGAGATGCCGCCAAGTTTTTTTTTGTGATCCCGTGCTGTATGCTACCGCTACCTTGTGCGATGTGCGACGCTAAGACCGCCATCATCCCAAGGTTTGTCGCCGGCAGCATGACAGCATCATGGTCGTTCAGTGAATGTTTGGGCACGATGGTTTTGTCCTCAGCTATAGCCATACTCAAGACCCGTGTCTGATGTTAGTTGCTTCAGTTTGGTCCCCTCAACAAGAACGTATAGCTTGTTCTGGAACTTGGACCGCCGTACAAACTGCGTAGTTCGCATGAAGCGCATGTGGGGCTGCGCTGGCACGGCTCTAAGATGCAGCATGCGGAATTTAGAGCGTCTGGTCTCAGGATGTGAACCCTTGTATGTAGAGAGTGGCTGCAACCTGTTGCAGTGAACAGTAGGCATGCTCGCAAGATCAGATTTGAGGTAGATAATGCCAGGCTGGACCGGCTAATCTCGGTTTTGCTTTTAACATGGTATTTTTATCTATGGGTATTGGCACAGGTGGCATCTCGCTGCTATGCTGTTTGTGCGCGACTCAGTCAGCTGGCTTATGAGCATTGTGATCGCCATATGCCGGGTTGTCCACAAGATCTTGCAGAGAAGCTAGCCGAGCGGCCGGTTGTGGTGCCTTGCTGTGTGTTGTTTCTTACGCTTTCTTGCCTGTGCAACGGGTTTCCGCTGCATGCAGGGTTCAAAGTTCGTTACCTAGCACCTGTACTTTGCAGCTCGTCCTGAATGCATCAGGCTTTCAAGCAGCATCGTTTCAGGCGCCAGTGCATGTCCCACCTATTGATGTGGCGTGATGACACTGTCATTTTGCCATTTGCAGATTGTGACGCGAGAGACTGCAGTACAGGCATAGATTGTGGGACATGTTGATTGAGCTGGGTCATGCTGCACTGTGCACTTCCCAACGCAATGTCAGTTTACATGCCAAGCTTGACTGGAAAGAGATTGTGTGGATGTTATCTCGGAATGTTGGGCATTCTCATTGGGACGATGCTAGTGAAGCTGAGTGTAGGTCAGCTTTCGGATAAGGGTCATAAGCCCTCCCCCTCGCCTGCAGCTTAGAGAATGTGCGCAGGCGGCAGAGTATGATTGGGATCTGCGGATCACTGCTTGGAATTTTGAATGCTGCAGGAGACAAAGGCAAGAACGCCATCGCTTTGCCCTCCTGGCGTCATTACCCACCACAGGGTGGTTTCGTTAACGTGAGCCTGCGCAGATGGCAGGACTCGCGACACCTTTGACAGCTTCCTTGAAGGGCAGGCGAGTCCGGCATTTTTTCTCTGAGCATCGGGAGCGGAAGACATCGGAAGACATACGACGAGTAGCTGAGTAGCCGATGTGATGCGACGCAATGCGCCGATGGCTCGCAGTCAGTGAGGTCTGGAGCAGGGGCTTTGTCTCAGCTGTGTCTTCCGTGCCAGCGCGACAAGCACCGGGCCGCGCTCGTGATGTTCCACGTGTCCTGGTGCAAGGCCGGTCCTCCGCCGGCCTTTCGGGACGGGGGGTTACGGACAGCTCTTTTTCCTCTTGCGGACCTGCCACAAAAGGCCTGCCAGCGCACATTCCCCTTCTTCGATGCAGCGGCTGCAACAGCTGGGTGCTCGCAGAGCTTTACATGTTAGCAAGTGCACGCTGGCCAGGTGCCGGTTCAAATCCTCTTGCGTAGTGACGCTGGCCTGCTAAGTTGCGGGGGCTCACTGGTCGCTTTCGCCAAGGTTCCCAGCCAGGGAGTGCAGAACCCAGCACTTTCGGGCTTGTACGCATCTTTGGGGCCAAGTGTCGTCGGCCCGTGGCAGATTCTTCAACTTCCGTTCTGTGCCGAAGAGTTTCAGTAGTTTCATGTTGGAGAGCAGCTGTGTTCGGATGACACCATGGCTGTGCTTCCAGCGTGGTTCTTTAGGGAACGTAAGCTTGCGGGAATGCCGAGCTGTGGGCGGCACAAGCCTTGGGGTTTGTCTAAGGGTAATGCAGGCCCAGCTCCTCCATTCGCCTTTGCCCTCGTCGTGAACCGATCTTGACACGACGGGCTTCCAAATCTCATAAAGATGCAACTGTGTACGAAAGCCTGCTGGGGATGAAGCCAGTATGCACACTGGAAACGGTAGGGCTGGGGACGGTTCTTGGACGGTTAGCCCATCATGCAAGGCGTGTTCATTATTCTACTCACTATAGCTCATGCAACCGAGAAAGAGAGAATTTTGCTCAGCGGGACGCGGGGAAGGCAACGAAACCCATCAGCCACGGTGCAGAGGTTGAAATGGATTTCGCCCATGTGGAGTGCACGGATGACAAGGTTGTCGCTGCTCTTTCAAGGGTATGCAAGGACCTAGAGCAGCTCCCTATTCGCCAAAATCTCGACAAGAACAGATTAAGTGTATTTTGAGCGATCCAAGAGCTTCTTTCAAGTCGTGGGTTCCCAGTTTCGTGTTTGGAGCCGTAACCGTGCTGCCCCACGCAGCCATCTTGGGCCAAATGGCAGCTTCCGCTACCATGCTTGGAATTAGTGTGCCAGGTCGTCCTAGCAGTCTTGTTTGCAGGGGCTTGGGCTTTATCCTGCGTAGTCATCCAGCCAGAGATGAAGAACGCACTTCCTCCGCAGGGAGTACATGATCTGAAGTACAGTACGAGAATACAGCTCCCTTGGCAGTCCCGGGAGCACGAACACAACTGCGTTCCCATGCCGCTTCACCGATTGCTCTTTGCAGTGGTATTGCTGCCTGCCGGCAGATTGAGGTTTCTTTTTCAGGTGCAGGCCAGCACGGCATACCAGCAACCTCAGCCCAGGTTTGCATGTGAATGCCTGGAGAAGGCTGCTGCCACTCATGAGCCAGAGGACTGCCATTTCCGGTCTTGGCTTCCGCCGAGTTGGTTTGCATTTTGGGTCAACTTTGATTCCTCATCCGGTTGTTCTAAGTTTCGGACTGAGCTGGCTCGAAGGAGCAGCTCGAGCCTTCCAATGAAACTTTGCATCCGGGCTTCCTTGCGCAGCTACAAGGCGCGGATTTCTGTTTCTGTTTGGATGGGTGGATCTGGGAGGCAGTCCCACCGGATCCGCGGAGCCGATGCTTGTGAGCTTTATACCCTGGGTTCAGGCCACAAGCGTGCCATCTATGCCATCGCCATCTCGTCCGAAGGTCTATTGGCATCCGGTGACAAGGTCTGGCCCATGTCGGTTCAACGCGTTTTTGTTTTTGGAGTGCAGGGGTGGGGGGGAGGGCGGGAAGGTGTCAGTGACGTTTTGAGGTAGCAATGTGCCTGATGCTGAAAAGAGGGACTGCTCGTGCATCACCTTGAGTCTACTTCGAGTTGATTCAGCGTGGACTAAACCAAACACGTATGCACGGGCAAGGAAGGTACATGACTCCGGAGCCCATATATCCTAGGCCATGCCTGCCGAGTTGCAAGCGCAGGACAACTTTCATAAGCCTACTGCAGGTAGCTGAAGTACTTCAGATCACGTCCCAGCTCTAGCATTAGCATCAACTGAGCACCGGCATGTCATGTTGCCGCGACATATGCAATGCTGTCCAGCACCTAGAGGCATGATCAGGTATTGGGACGTCGGAGTTTGGGTTCAGCGGATGCTTTGCAGCAACAAGTCTTGCTGCTGTAACCCCGCCATCCTCGGCAGACTCTTGTGGCAGGAGGGCGTGATCTGTGTCTGGAATGTCTCCGCGCCCTCGCGGCTGCTTGACTGCGAGTCATTGGCTTTAAAGAGTTGTTCCGCGACTCATTCACGTGCAAACATCCCTTTGACAAGTTAAGGCCTTGGCGCAAGTCCGGATCTTAGCATTGTCAGGTCATTGTAGGTATGAGGAGAAAAAGATGAAGGGAAGTAAGAGTCCAAGTCCTGGGCGTTTCCGTGAGCTTTGCTCATGGCGATGAGCGCTTCGCTTCCACTTTGCATGAAGGCTCACTGGCCATCGCTATGGCGTTACGGCCCTGGCTTTCGCAAATGGCACACTTCTCTCTGGAGCAGCAGACAACACCACGCTGCGCTGGGACCTCGTGCCTTGGAGCAGTTTGGGATTGCTTGGGCAAGGCTTGGGCTTGGAGTCCCCTCTCTGCACGGCCCGCCGAGGCGTCCGGGAGGATTTTGCAGCAGATCCCACATCCGAGGACGGTCCCCTGGCGCCGCACAGAGGAACGCTCCCATGCAGAAACAGGGGAAGTCCGTGAGTTTTTGCCTGAGATGTTCGGTGCACTTGGAAGAAGAAACTCAGGTCTTTGGGATCTCTGTCGATCCGAGCGGTGTTGCGGCAGCAAGCTCTGGAAGTGTGTGAAATGTCTGACTCTGCCGCCAAACCAGTAAAGACTGGTTAGGCGCCTTTGCCACGGCGGCCTGGGACGGCACCCTGCGGCTCTTCGGGATGCAGGGCCAGGGGCAGGCCGAGCTTCCCAGCGGAGGCATCCGGATGATGAGCATAATGCTATAATGCTGTCATGTTCACGAACTGACTCAGAAGCAAAATCATGACAGAGTCATGCCTAGTCATTGTTGCCACTTCTGCTGTCTGTGACTGATATGACTCACTCGTCGTTGGCACGTGTGGGGTTGCTTTTGTTGCTTCCATTATCGAATCGTTGTTCCAATTATTGCTACAGTGCCCCGAAGCGTGCAATCGTTTTGGTGTTGGGACCTCGTGGGAAATGTTGGGGCGCGTCAGGAGAAATTTACACTTGTTGAACCTTTCCAAAACAAAGCATGAGCCGGTTGTAGCTTGCATTTCGCTTGGGGTCCGGCTCGGTTCTTAATCTGTTTGTGCTCGAGATGGCAGAGGTGTGGGAGGGACGTCGGCGGTGTAGGACGTACCGTGTCAATGCTTGTTCTCATTGTCCTCTGTCGGGTAGCTGCTGGATTTCAGAGGTCCTTTTTTTGTCAATTTGTTTTATCGAATTGCATCCTCAAGACTCATGTGCAGTAAGAAATGCTGATGGCTGAGCAGGAGGACTTTATGCAGCCGCTTGGTCTGTTCATGTGCCCCCAGGATCTGCACCTTCGACCCTTCGACCATTTACCGCCGGTGAAGCCGAGGTCGCCCACTCAGCCCTCGATCCGACGCTGGTGGCCACGGCTTCTGCGGACAGGCGCTTTGGATGGGCGTCGCATGCAGCTGCTCGGCTTCTCGAGAATCTGCCAGACAGGACGGTGAAAATCTGGGATGTGCAGCAGCAAAGACTGCTGTGGACGCTTTCCGGCCACAAGGACACGATGACGCGAACACTAGGCATCCCACACTCCTGACGTTGTGAGATGTTGAGATGTTGTGAGTTGTCAGGATCACGTCACCGCCGTCGGATGGTCTGACAGAGAGCTTCAGCTCGCCAGTGCAGGCTGGGACAGGAGGCCGGGAGGCTGCCGCCCATTTCCCAAAAGCTTACGGAGGCGTCCAGAGTCCTGCATAATGGATCTGTGATGTGTTTAGTTTAGTCTAAGAAGCCTACTGAGTGTTCTCTGCGAGCTGCTTTTCCACAGGTTTCGTCTCTGGTCGCTCTCCAAAGATGAAGTGGCGGCCTGCAGATCATTAGCGAAATGTTCAACAGCAATCGCACCTCGGCTGTCAAATGACGCATGTGTGCGCGTGCTGTAGATTCGGAGCTCTCTCAGGTCCCACGCTACGTCCGACGCCACCAGCAGCTGCTTTGGGCCGTTGCCTTTGCTCCAGGCAGATACTCAGTTTGGATCTTTTTGGCTGGCTGGATCCGTGTGGTCCCTGCGTGCAGCCGCGCAGCCATTGCTGGCGGGGCTGTGGTTCGTGCAAAGCTTCAGGTGGGCGTCTGGTTGCTGCTTGCCACGGTGCCGTTGGACAGTCGCCGACCGCCGCCTGGCAGCCTGGTAGAAGAACCCCAGCGATCCCCAGCAGCTTCCGCCATGTCCTGCCAGGTTGTTCTCTACGATGCAGAGAGCGGTACGGTGGTAAGAAGGCTTGGGCGACACAAGGCGCATGTTCCCTGAAGCCAAGCTGTAGGCAAACCACCGATGCTACCTGTTTTATGAGAGTTAGTACGACGGAAAAGGGTTGTCTGATGCCGTAGCAAGTGGTACAGATGCGCAGGACACTCCTTTGGCCCTGGCCTTTTCCCCATCGGGCGATGTCCTTGTACCTCGGCAGGGCTTGAGTGGCAGGATAGTGACACTTCGTCTGAACGTCGCTTACGCGTTCGAGATAAGACACCAGCACAGGCGTCCGCTGGCATGGACCGGAGGGTGCTCCTCTACAAGGCCACCGACCCCAGCGATGACCTCCCACAGGCTCGGAGCGGGACCGAGTGGGAGCCGGCAGTGGACGCAGTGCCAGGGCGACGCAGATGACGAGGAGGAAAGCCTCCTGGCAGAAGTCTGAAGATCTTGAGCGCCAGACCCGCATTCCCCCAGCAGCTCAGGGCTCCAATGGCTTCAGGACGTGGAGGATTTCCGCCAGGAGCAAAAGAGCCTCAATGAACCCGGGCTGCCTTTGACACTACTCAATATGTCGTCAAGGTGTTCGTAGTCTACAGCTTGTGGTACACACCTGCGCAAACAGCAGATGCATCGTTATCGGATATCGTCGGCATGTGGTCAGAACCTGGGCCCGAACCATTGCGAGCACTTGGGGAAAGTCCGGTTCAATGGTTTTCGGGATGATCAACAGGGACTAGGTATGCCAGCTAGGGCCGCGAGGGCGTAGGGCAGCATTGAGTGTTCTGCTGAGCCTTAAGCTTGAGGCGAGCAAGCTTGCGCAGTTGGCGCAGGAATTGGCAACTTGGTTGGTGTGGCATGAGTAAGATACGACCAGCCTTGCTCGCGATCTGCATGTTTGGCCATTGAGTGGCATCCAAGGCCAACCTTCAGAACCGGTCGAAGACCGACACAGGCCGTGCCTCCAGAGTGTCAGCCGAATCTGAAGTTGCTTCTCGATCTGATGTGGCTGGAAGGAGGGAAAGGTCCCTGGACGCCGCATCCCGCTTCGGGCATGGTTGCTCTCTTGTTGCTCGGAAGGGCACAAGGATCAACAACGATTCATGCTAGCAGCTCCTGCTGGTGTACCATTGGAAGCTGACTACGAGCAATTAGCATGAGGGGCTTACAGTAAGGCGTCGATTGCGGACCTTCTTTTCCAAGGTGAGACAGCGAGCAGGACGAAGAACGATGCCACCCAAGTCCAGAAGAGATGCGACAAGCAGAGAAAGGGACACCCGTAAACCCTAAATTGTTGATCAAAGCGGAGCCTAGCTATTGTACCAATGCTGAGTAGCACTTCGAGGTTTCGTTTTTGCTGAATAGAACAGAAGAAGAGCTTGAACAGGGCACAATGGATGCTGGAAGTTTACGTGTCAGATGTTGGAACTCACGAAGGAATCCAATGCTCTTCTCTCGAAGCGGTGATGCACTCCCGTTAGTACAACTCTGCAGGGCCATCAGTTCTGTCAGCACAGAACCAGCGATGAAGTCACTAGCCGCAGACAGCTTCGTCGATCTGCCTAGCACTTTGTTCTGACTTGTCTGAAGTCGTCGACGACAGGGACGGCATAATCTTTCTTCCATCCTCAGCCGTCGACACATCCAATGTGTCGCTTTTGTGCCTCTTTGTGTTGCAAGAGCCAATCTTATTCTCTGGAGAATGAATCTATCCGGAATGTTGTGCTCTGAGCGTGACTCGCAGAAAGTCCAAGCCTGAGAGTTTATGCATGTCCGCCAAAGTCTCGGCCCGGCCGCTGCGATTGACAAGACGCAACAGCAACCCGGGTTCCTACTTGCACACTGAAGAGAGTATCTGACTGTCGTATGTAGGATGTAAGGCTCTACTGTAAGGCACAGAGAGAAGATCACCCAGACTTTGCAGGGCTTCGCAGCCTTGGCGACCCTTGCAGTTAGCCCCATGAAAGAATGCTTCAACATCTCGGCGCGAAGCAAGCGCCCAATGCAAAAGGATGGGCGCAGTCGACAGCGGCCCCTGGCTCAGGAAGAGCCACCTCTATATCTCCAGAGACGCTTCGATATGGGAAAGCCCATTGCATAAGGACTGGCCAGCTGCAACGCGCGGTGTCCGCAAGAGTCTGTGAGTTTGGTCCGGGGGCAACAGTGAAAGTTCTAGGCTTCGATCATATGCGATCATCCATGGCTGACAGAGTCAGCAGTTCTCTCAGGAGCTGGCCCTCGCGGCCCCGGCGAGCCTGCACAGCTCCAGGTCCCCGTCCCAAAGCGCGAGGAAGAGCCGGCGGAAGCTTCAGGCGGGGCATGGCGGCGGCATCTTGCAGGACAGGCCGAAGAGGGCCTGCATCGTGGTTGCGTGAGCTCTCGTGAGCCTCCAGATCATGTAGGACTGCGTCCACTCAGCGCAGCAGGCTGCCATGCCTACCGGCCACGATTGCATGAAGAGTGATGGTGTAATTAGCCGGGGCTGGCTACTGTGTTCAAGGCAGCTCACAGCTCTGGGAAGCACTGTGAAGCATGTGTGAGTTCTGGGTGTACATGGGGTGTCCTCGTCCTTGTGGCCGGCTCTAGACTTGATAGTGCAGAAGTAGTAGTAGTAGTAGTAGTAGTAGTAGTGGTATTGCATTGCAACCGTCTCACCGATCCGATGATTCGACGAAAGGCAGGCATTGCCCGGCAGCTCAGAGTAGTAGTGGTAGTAGTAGTAGTAGTAGTAGTAGTAGTAGTAGGCAGCGACCTGGTCGTTTGCCCACCCCTTGTTTCCTCCTGTGCCCCTTCGCTCGCCCAGGTCCGACTTCTTCGCAGCTTTGGGTTCAGATGTATCTATGTATATACGTAGGTGTGTATGTATGCGTGCATGTATGTATGTATGTATGTATGTATGTATGTATGTATGTATGTATGTATATCTGTCTGTTTGTCTGTATGTTTGACAGCACAGATTTACATATTGCCACAGAGCATCCATGTTGATAACGTCCACCCACCCAGACCACATGCGTTCTGCCGGAGCATCCATGTCCCAACCATGATAACGTCCACCCATACCCCATCCGTTCTGCCAGAGCATCCATGTCCCAACCATGATAACCTTCCCACAAACTCCATCCGGTCCCACAGAGCATCCATGTCCCAACCGTGATAACGTTACCACAAACTCCATCCGGTCCCACAGAGCATCCATGTCCCAACCATGATAACGTCCACCCAGACCTCCATGTCCCAACCATGATAGCGTCCACCCATACCCCATCCGTTCTGCCAGAGCATCCGTGTCACAACCATGATAATGTCCACCCAGACCCCACCCGTTCTGCCAGAGCAATGGAGGCGAAGCAAGCACTGCTCTTCCAGTCTCCTTTCGAGTATTCCCACTAAGTTGCAAAACCACAAACTCCGCAACGAAACTGGAAGCCAGTGCCAAGCGCTTTCTTGAACGACTGCGGCAGGGCACCGGCAGCAGAAAACACAGCCCTGGCCGACGTTTTTGTGTCACGACTCTCAACCCTGCCGTGAACCTAGACTCGCGTGCACCACACTAAGCCTAATCGCAACTGTGCAGTTCCGATGTATTGACTGGAACCTGTCCGAAGCCCGAATCACTCGTAAACAACGAGTAAAATCAAGCTAACTCACAAACAAAGGTGGGCAAACGATCTGCCCACTGCCTAGTACTAGTAGTAGTAGTAGTAGTAGTAGTAGTAGTAGTAGTAGTAGTATCATCATCGAGCGTCGCACGATCCANNGCACAACCCATAAGCTAGGCTACTACACGAACATCCACTCTAGTCCATCTCGTCAAAGAACGAAGAAGCATTTCCTGATACTCGCGAAGAACCGGCATTGACGCATGAACCACTTGCCTCTACAGCTGGTGACTCCGAATCCGAGTCCACTTGCACAGTCACCACAAAATCGCTAGATGGCACTCCACTGGCCGACGCAGCATGAGATGAAGGCATGCCATATCCGCTCGAACAGGTATTGCCCGTCTGTAGAGCAGATGTACCAGCTTGAGGACCCTCTGATCCCACCGAGCCCGAGGGAGCGGTGGTGTCAAAAGATTCCTCAACACCATTGTCACCATTGTGCTGCCTATCATAACAGCCGCTTGAGTGGCGCCTGCCTCGATTGCGTCGACACTCCGAGCAACAAACTGTGTGTGAGTAGCCAGCCTGTCTCCAGCATCCTGACACCCTGCAAGTAGTGATGCTCTGCCGAAGATAGTCTCTCTGGTTCCGCTCACAGCGACGTGTATGTGACCCGAAGTGACAGCGAGAGCAGCAATGACGATGATCCAACTCCGGAAAAAGTCGGCGACAGTTCGGCGTGATACACTGATGGCGCCTTACTGACTGAGGCTGTGACCCTGGCCAAGGTCCTGATCCTGATCCAGCCGGTGCCGAGTGTGCGATCTCTGCCGTAGCCGAGGCTGAGACAGCAGTGGATGCCTGTTGGTCTCCCACCAGGAAGGGGGCCCGTCCTGAGGAGGAAGCCTCTGCAACGTCACGCGCCTCATCCGCCATGTAGACCTGAGCTGGTGAGTGCGAAGGGACTGGCCAGTAGGCGCGGCGACCGGCGACAGCAATTGATGCAGCATTCGGCAATCCTTTTCTGCGCGCACCCTAACATGTTACGTGTGATTACTTTGGCATTCATCACGCCCTCGGCTGGATTTCCTTCCGATGCAAGACCAAACTACGGGAGGGAGAAGGGGAGCCTAGGACCAAAACCGGAACAAACTCTATCCTACGGACTGATGCGATGCAGGCATTTGCTGCCGCACTGTATGTGCTCGATACGCCATTCAGCCAATCATGGGTGGAAGTAGGGGCAGTACTCCTCCGCTCGCCGCGGTATCACGGTCCGGCAGATCAAAGCCGAGATTTGCCAGCATATCACAGGCTGGGGATGCAAGCCTGGGCCAGTTACGCACCGTGTACGCAACAATGACATAGCGATCGAAGTCGGCCCATGGTTCCGTGGCATGGAACCTCTTGTGTGCAGACAACTTGATCCTGCAGTGAATAGTTGGCTCCCCTCAAGAGATTGCCCTGGACTTCTTGATAGATAACTCCTGGCTCATCGTGCTGGCTCTCCAGCCAAAGGCCTCCCCCATCTTGCAGGCTGAGAGAGAAAATGAGGTTGTCCTCCGGCCCATTTTGCAGATCCCGATGCGCCGGCGCCGCGTAGTTCTTGTTCAAAGCTATGGACGTAAAACGAAAGTTGGGCGCCAGATGCTTGAGTAGAAAGCAGAGCAAGCGACACACATTTGGATGCATAGGAGTCTGCTTGCAAATCCCAACCAGGCCCTGTCTGGCGAAGATGCCCAGGTGAAAACTGGCTGCGTCCGGGCCATCCCGCATCATCTGCTGGCGCGGAGGCTCATATGAGAGCAGGAGCGCAACCTGCCCAGCCGCCTCCCAGATTGAGCCACCGCCCGTGGCGAGGATATTGTATGCCAAGATCTCGGCGCTACTGTGACGCTCCGAGGGTGAATTTCCGGGCGGAGGTAGGATTGCAGGTGGGCGCGGTGTTATGGCCAGCGATAAACGAAGCGAGTAGCTCACAAACTGCTCTCTCGATGTAGCATCCAGCAGCTGCTCGGCTGTGTGCACAATCTCGTTTCTGGAGGCCATGCCCAGGCCCGAGTGCAGCATAGCGCGAGGCATGCTACACAGTTCCAGAAAGCAGGAGAGCAGCAGGAAGTCTTCAAGGGCTTCCGCGTAGATGTCACCAGGCAGGTTAAGGCTTTGCGCCATGGCTTGCCGCGGCACCGACCTGGGTACCTAGACGGACCGACCTAGGTCCTGGACCGTTACTGCCGTCCAAGTGCAGGAGCTTTCAGAGCTCATACTGTGGCACACAGTGCTGAGCCGGGGACTGGCTGGTGCTCTGAAACAGCAACCGTCTACCACGGTCAGTGCCGACCTAGGCACAAACAGATGGCCGACCTGGGCCATCCGTAACCTTGAGCCTGCTGGATACGGTAGAGTGCTTAATGCGGGAGTGCATGTGGTTCAGCATGTAAACGAATCAGATGCAACGAAATGGCTAGAGAGAGACTTTGTGGAACAAAATGGAACTTGATCACCGGTGCTCTTCGGCATGTGGCGATGCGCAAACGCTTTGACTAATTACTGGGCAGTTGACCAGGCTGCTGCGGCCTGTGCAGAATGCAGCCTGGCCTCG